TTTTGTCAAATCTATTTTCTAAAAATCCTTATGAAGGACAATCATATTGATGGACGAGCCTTGGCTCATAAGCTGTTAAAGGTGGGATATTATTGGCCCACCCTATGGCATTCGTCAAGAAATGTGACAAGTTACAGAAGCACACTAATTTTCACCATGCACCAATTCAACTTCTTAATTCTTTCATGCTTCCTTGACCATTCTACCAATGAGACATGGATATTTTGGGCACTTTACCACTACCACATAACCAACTAAAGTTCTTGATCATTGGAGTAGACTATTTCACAATATTGATAAAGGCTCAAGTCGTCTCCAACATCAAAGTAGATAGGATATGTCATTTTCATTGGCAATGACTCATGTGTGTGTTTTGCTTTCCAAGCATTATTATTCCAAACAATAGAACTCACCTTGCCAGCTCTACCATGGTCGAAATTTGTCATGACCTAGGAGTACAAACAAAATTTATTTCTATTTTCCATCCACGGTAAAAAATGCAAGTTAAATAAGAAAATAAGGTGATATTGAAAGGGATTAAAAAGAAGTTAGATGACTCCAAAAGACTCTGTGATGAACAACTACGCAGTGCTTGGTCATACCATACCATCCCTCATTCAACCACCAAAAAGACATACCATTCACAATGGTATACGAAGCAGAAGTCATGTTACATGTTGAAATCAACATGCCCACTTAGAGGCGCTCTCAAGTTAATATGGAGGAGAATGGGGCAGGGATAAGATACATTATAGACCTATTTGACGATACAATAGATGTTACTCATATTAGGGAATTCTCCTCTAAGAAAAGGGATACCAGAAGGGTATAACTCAAAAGTGTTTCAGAGGGAAATGCATAAAGATGACCTAGTACTTAGAAAGGTTGTTGTGATCCCCCGGCAAGGGAAACTAAAACCCAATTGTGAAGGACTTTACAACATATCAGAAACTACCTCATGGAGCTTACAGGATTAAAGAGCTGGATGGACAACTCATCCCTAAAAAATGAAACTCATTTAACATAATATACTATTACAGTTAATTGTTTTTTATTGTGTTTAAGATGAGAAAGGTGGTTGAACTGCCAATATATGAATCTCTTTGGAAAAATTTATTGTTATTAACAACAAGTTATCCATGTGGATCTATGTGCTTGTAGGTTATGAAGATAAAAGTTTTGTAGAAGATTCATTTGAAGTTTTGATAACTAAAGAAACTAATCAATTAAAGTACTCAATATCAAAGTGCCTATATAATCAGAAACTATCTAGCAAAGGTTTTGAAGTTATGAAGAAAAGTGTGAAAGCTCGCTAGATCATGTCTATCAGTCTGTCTGAGTGAACCAAGTATTGTAAAAGTAAGTAAGTAGCTTAAAAGTACTAAGGCAACTAACACGCGCATGCACACACCTAAAATATCTTCCAAAATGTTTTTATCTTGAAAATGATTTTCTAAGCCAGAGCCAGGTGATTAAAAAGTTATTCAAAACTTTTTCAAACTGTTTTTTAACTAACCAAATGATTGGTAAGTTTTACTAATCGATTGGAAAAGCTTTTATGAGTCAACCAATCAATTGGAGTATTATGCAATTGATTGGAAGAGTTCTAATCGATTACCTTAACAATAAGAACAACACATTAATGACTTGCAACAAATCTATATCCAAAATTTCCTATTTAGGCTTGCCAATCACTTATAAATGAGTTGGTTAATTGATTAGAGATTTTTGCCAATCGTTTAGATCATTAATTTGACCCGTAAATTATTTCCATTTATGATTTTTCCATCTACTATGTAAGGGAGGTATGAACTCAATTCAAATCACACCACTTTCAAAAAATTTCTTATTTCTTTAAAATTTATCTCTCTAATATTATTTTTTCTCGCTAGAAAAATATTTTCTTCCGCTTCATAATGTCCTAGTGCTAGTAAGTGGAGCTTTACTTATGAGGAATGAATCTTCGCAAGTGGTCATGATGGTTGTTTATATTCTTCAGGATGTGATACTCTAAAGAGATCAACTTTGGTTCTTGAGATAAATATGTCAAAAATCTTTGTATTTGGTCACTGGATTCTTCAAATATTGAGTGATGGTTGTCATTCCTCATATGTATTGAATGATAAACATCACAAAGCATGGAGGGAATTGGATTCTTCAGCATAAAGATACGAATATCATTCATATCTACAAAATCCATAACATTTGGGAAAAGCATAATCCCATAAATGCAAAAAGCCAAGATTATGTTGAACGCATTCCAACTAGTTGAATTAGTAAAGGCATGAGCATTCTCAACTAGAAACTTCAAATAAAATTCAGAAAGGCATGTCTCAACCTTAAGGTTGGCTTCCATAACAGCTTCGCTCAAATAAAGAGCCTATGTAATCTGGGGGAATCTAGGAACCTCCGTCAAAGTATTAAAAGGAACCTGATTTTTGATTGGAATCCCCATGATATAAGAATATTCTTCCAACAGCGAGAGCAAACTGATAGTCTAGAAATTTGAAACATCTCAGAGAAGGATCAGAAAACTGAAGGAGAGTATGAATAGCTCCCCTTTTAAAAGGTGCAATGGGAGTATGGAGAATATTCGAACACATCCCATACCCTTGCTTGAAGACCTTTGTACTCTTTGGAGTGGCTCTGGACACCAAGTAATGAAGAAACTTCAAAGTAGGTGTCATGAACTTATAACCAATGGTGCTTTTCCTTCCAGTGTCCATCTCAAAAGGGTAAACTCTACACAAGACCCAAAGACTGGGATTCCCGGGAAATACAAGACATATATGTCTTGAAAAGCTCCAGATAATGATGTGATGATATGCAACGCACAAACATAGGATCAAAAGCATGGGTTCAAAGGTCTTTGTATAACCTGGATAACTGTTGTATAATCCTCGGAATAAATACTGTACAATCTGAATATCACGTGATCAAAGGTCTGGAACCATTTCAGAACACAAGAATCAAGTACCATGAAGATCAACATCAGTACATATAAGAATAATTTCCACCCCATCTCACGGATAAATTCTAATCAGAACAAGGTTCTTAATGGTTACCAAAGTTGACAGCCCTTTGTCGAGAATACCTTGTCTTATGCATAATCATGCAGGACAAAGGCATTCCTAAGAGAACCTCGTCTAGTCGCGCTATGTTATGCCAACTCTTACGTGATAGGCGCCACGAGAGTCAGCATAACTATCCACTATAATCCTAGGTGAACACTGGCTTGGGTATTAGGTCTTTTACCTCGTGTAACATCCCACTTAACCTGAAAAAGAAAATCCATCAACCAGTACAGCATATATCCATAACAATGGAAAGTAATAAAATGTAATGCATGCAATAAATAAACAACGAGTAAAGCATAAAGATAAACACCCAAAGAAACAGAACAATCAAAGCTAGGATTGGCCCACTTAGAGAAGAGTATTCCCTAGTGAAATCACCAAATTTCTGTAGCGGTAAAATTGAGACTAAGTCATTGATTGGCTTAACTCACAAAGTGAAAGTCGCCATCAAACTGTATTATTCCAAAAGGAATGGGAAAAGATCGAATAAACCCACAAAAGAATAAAGATCAAGGTATGGGGGTCGTTTATGCAAAGAGAAGATATTATCACCCTAAACATATGTTGTACTCAATGGGATCCACTATGTTTGTTCTAATCAAAAGGTGTGTTATCTAAAGCTTTAACTTGCTAAGGGAATGCATGAATGAATTATTAATGAACAAAAAGAAAGTTTATTATTATTGCGCCCACTGCAGTTGCGAACTTTTGTGTTTACATACCCTCTTTGTGCAATGAGAGATCAGGGCACTCGTAGTTCACCTAAAAAAATTTGGTTTGTTGTATTTTTTAGGAAATGATGCTAAATTTTGCATTCTACTGCAGCTCAACCTTTGGAGACTTGCATATTTATCGTAGAAAGGAATTATCATATTCTTTGTGAAAATATTTTCAAGGCCTGAAGGAAAAAGAAGTTTGGATTTGTTGAGTGTTTTTTATTCGGAGAATACCTCAGATGGTCCTCCAAGGCCGGAGGTATCTGAGTACTTTCCCCTTTATTTACAAAAGTGTTTGAGATATGTACAATACTAAAGTCAATGACATGGGAGACTTTTAGATGGTCGAGCCAGGCGCCTCATATCCTAAGTACTCTGCACGTGCTTAAGACTCGTGACGTATTTGCATTCAGCACATTTATTAGGTGTTTTTGAGTTTTTTGATAAGAAAATATTTTTGTTTTACAAGATACAAAAGAAATAAAAATCTAAGGGAGACTCGGATCCTAGTGTTGTCATGCAAAGTGGTCCTAAAGTTTGGTTAAAAGGGAAATTCTACCTATGATTATCATGCATAGTTTGTAACTTAAAGTCTATTTAATTCAAATTTAATCAAAAGATTAAAATCGAATTAAAAAACCTAAGGAAACATGACAAGATCACACCCAAATAACAAAAATAAAAGAATAAAATTATATATATATATATATTTTTTTTTTATCATGAGAAGAAAATGCAAACAATTTTAAATAATTGAAAAAATCAATTAGAAAAGAAAATACACTAAAATAAGCCATAGGATGCAAGTAACGAGTAGGAGATATGCTTCAGCAAACTTTAAGTCCAAACCAGAAATAAGTCCATAACCCTCTCTTCAGGCGCCGTAAGAGGCTTCTTCTCTATCACTTGCGGCACTGTGGCTTCAATTTCATCTTCCTATCTGATTCTATTTTGCCACAGAGCCGCCGCTAGCCTTCGAAGCTTCTACGCCATGGTTTCATCAGCTCAACGATTTTGTTCGGCTTCAACTTGTGACTCAGCTCCGATCTCGACCTTCGTCTTCTCTTGCTTTCGATCGATTCTCAGTCGTAACAAAGCTCAGAGATGCCTCTCCCTAACGCTGCCATGGTTCTCATCATCTTCTTCAAAGATTCACTGAATTCGACACATATGGGAACCAAACAGTGTAAGGGAGAAAAATAGAAAGATGCTTACCTACCGGAGTTCGTCCGACGCGTCCTCGTGGATGGCGAATAGAAACAAAAAACCAGAGGTATGATCTCCTTGCTTTCAATTCTCCTTCCTTCTACTCTTCCGCGTTTTCGTTCGGTTGTTCTTGTTCTTTGCTCCTTCTACTCTTCTTCGATTCAACTTCCTGCTACTCTTTCTTGATTTCTTTGGTGAACTGTGGAGATCTTCAGGAATTGTTGTTGTTTCTGCGGATTCAAAGTTGTTGTTGCGGATTTGATGAAGATGGAAGTGTCATGTTGATGTTGTTGCAGATGCAGAGAGTTGTCGTTGAAGTTGCGGATGCAAGGCGGTTGCAGAAACGATGAAGATTGAAAGTGAAGCGATATCAGGAAGATGAAGATAGACTGATGAAGTTATTGCTGAAGGTCGATATGGAGAAGATGAAGATTCGATGATGTATATGGTTGAAGATGGATACCGAAAGAAGAGAATTTGAGAGGATATCTGAGTTTTTTCTTTTAGTTTTTTATAAAATGAATCGGGTTCAATGGTGATTGAGCGTGTTTGTAGGGCTGGTTACAGTGGGCAGCATGTTTCGGTTTTTGCTTCATGATTGATGTCAAGACAAGTTCATAGTATGCATCAGAAGACATATGTTGTGAAGTTTTGGTTTAGGAAAGGTGCATTAGAAGAAATCATGGCATGGCATGAAGTGAAGCTTTAGATCTTAGTAGCTTTAGGACTTTATGTTTAGAAACATTTTTGTAATGTGATAGCATGATATTTTGAATGAAGTTGAAGGGGAGCGAAGATGGAAGCTTAGATGTTAGGCCTTTTACGTGATTTTCCTTGTAAAGTTTCCATGTAACCACTTGTAAAACTTCTTTGGACTTGCAATGTACAACCTTCTTTTGTAATGATCTTTGAATCTTGAATTTAGACGAGAATGAAAGTTTCCTTTCATTATTTCAAATTGAATTTAAATCTCTCCTCTTGCATTTGGTCTTTTGAATCTAAAGCTTCTTTTGAATCATGTAAATTCGTAAACAATCATATGTAGCACATGCCATTGAAAAATAAAGTTAATATGGTTCGGTCAACAACAACTCAACTCTTGAGACCATCTCCATCCTTACTTTGAGTGAACTTTGTAATGAACTTTATATTGCCTTTTGATTGTTGGATTTTGGATGGTGAATCTTAACCTTTCCTTCAATTGGATTTTGAATCCACTTAATCTTTTTGAATACATTGTCATGCTTTGATTGTCTCAAATGAATGGATGAACCTTGTATTCTAATGAATCTACAATCATGAACTTTCCATCTAATGAAAATATTCCCCCTCCCCCCAATATCTTGTAATTTCAAACCCGAGCAAGTCAAATACATATTACTTCCAATTTCACCAGCTCTAAACATTTTGGTTCCTTGGCATGAATCCACACTAATCCACTTTTTTCAATCTCTATCTTGCTTGTATAACAGACTATAAGAGAAACAAAATGAGTTAATCTCATTGAATCCATAACATCATCCTTGTATCATATCTTGACTTGATGATCGACAACATATCAATGCTTTGAATCCTTAAAAACAAATGATAAGGCTTGAAGCATATAAGAACATCCTTAATTGAATATTAGTTGGATTAGCAAACTTAAACATGATGACAATGTAAACCTAAGTCCTCTTGTTTCAGTGCTCAATGATGAAAAAGTAGCTCGCGATGTTACGGAAGAACCAAACCCTAATTCAATGGTTCTTAGTTGAAATGCCGCCTACTTCAAGTACAAAGGGTTAGAAGTCCTAATTCTCTTGTCAAGGAAGATATATATGACGCTTGTGATCCAAAATCCTAGTTTCATATTAAGAGTGATGAATGAACCAGTTGAATCAACTTGAGAAAAGTAGCAACCTTAATCCATAGGAAAAACCCTAATGCCACGAGCCCTTTGATCCCACGCCTTAGGAACACAAATGAATGAATGATTTATGATGTAAATGCATATGTTATTATAAACGACATATTAGGGGTAAAAATGGGATATGACAGACTTCAACAAGGAGATCCTTGTCACCCTCAAAAGGAAATCTAAACTTTGGATTTCCAAAGGAAAATCTTTGTCGCCTCCAAAGGCAATATAAATATTGAACTTTCATAGGAATATCCCCCGCAGAGCGTAAACCAACAACTTAGAGTCTCACCTGAAGGACTTAACTTAAAGCTTTTCCTAAGAGACTCAACTTAGAGTCGCGTCTAAGGGACCTAACTTGAAGTCTCGCATGAGGGACTCAACTTAAAGTATCTCCTGAGTGACTTAACTTAGAGTCTTGCCTAAGGGACTTAAATTAAAGTCTCGGTTAAAGTATTCAACTTAGAGGACAACCTGAAGGACTTAACTTAAAGTCTCGCATGAGGGACTCAACTTGAGTGTCTCCTGAGAGACTCAACTTAGTGACTCGCCTGAGGGACTCAACTTATAGTCTTGCCTTAGGGACTTAACTTATACTCTCCTCAGGAACTCAGCTTAAAGTCTCTCCCGAGAGACTCAACCTAAATTTTTTTCTGAGGGACTCAACTTAAAGTCTCGCATAAGGGACTCAACTTAGAGTCTCACTTGAGGGACTTGACTTAACACTACGCCAAAAAAGACTTACGAAAACGCTTTTGTTGGCCTTTAAAAGCGCTTAAAAGCGCTTTCGTATGTGGCGCTGCTATAGGTTTTAGCAGCGCTTTTTGTTTAATGAAAAGCGCTCTCATAAGTTTTCTTTTAGCAGCGTTTTTTTCTGGAAAAGCGTTGTCTTAGGTAGGCTTTTAGCAACGCTTTTTTCTGGAAAAGCGCTTTCATAGATGGTTTTTTAGCAGCGCTTTTGCCTGGAAAAGCGTTGTCATATGTTTACCTTAGACAGCGCTTTTTGTGAAAAAGCGCTTTCATAGGTTACCTAAGGCAGCGTTTTTATTGAAAAAGCGCTTTCATATGGTGTTTTTTTTAGAGGTATAATTTATATAATTCATATACCTGCATTGTTTGCAGCATATTATTTATATAAACCAGTTGCCATAACCTGTAATTCATAAACCGCGGTAATGCATTGTATACCATTGTAATCCAAAATATATATATACACCATTTTTGTACCTCAAAATATATAAAAACCATTGTTATCAGCATTGTAACTCAAAATTAGTCTTACAAAATCAACCCTAACAACAACTAAACCAGTCCTAATGTATGAAAGAAACACAGTCAATTATGTATTAAGGTCCTGGTCCTGCGAGGTTTGAACATAATAACACGGTCAATATGGTATTCCATGTACACATGTAACGTATTCATAACACTTTTCACATAATAATGTATTCATACCTTATATGATTCTCTGCTCAATAAAATATTGACACAGTTCCTCTTTGATTTCTTCCAACTGAAGTTTCGTGTAATATGCACATTTGTATTCATCGAAGTACTACATAACAAAACATAATATGCATGATTTAGTTAAAAGTAAAAAATTATATGAAATATCCGAGAAATAATAAAACAAATCCTAAGTTATAAATCCATACCGTGACTGGAATCTCTATTTGATTCAATTGAAGGATTTCTTTGATAAACTGCATAACGAAGTATCCGCAATCTATACTGTTTTGTTGTTGAGGACACTACATAGAAAAACAAATAAGAATATATAGTTGTATTGTTTTATCAAATAGCATAAATATTATAAGCAAAATAGTGAAAATTAATATACCTGCACTTTGATCCAATTAATGTTGTTTGATTTAGACCGTCGTACCCGAGCTTCTCTTTGACACCGGAATACTTGTATCGCTCTAACAAAATAAAAATATATATTTAGAACAATGTCACAGAAATAATTAAATATATAAATACACACAAATATTTAGAATAATCTCACTTATGTATTAATCATTAACTTCATATCCAGATAATTTGTCCAATCACCATCAACCGAATTCAGATAATAGACCACTTCTTTTATAGGATCGATAGCAACCAACAACCAGTGACGTCTATAAATTAAAACAACAGTTTAGAAGAAAATTTTCTAGGCAAAAATTACAAATATTAAAATGAACTTAGAATGAAAATCTAACCCTGTAGGAATAGTATTATACGCCCAAAGATATAAGCTTTCTGTACTGCCAGTTGCCATGAATCTTTCGACTAAGTGCTCTCTTACTGAATCTGGTTCCCTACCAATTGTCGCTCCACTGACACGGGAGGAAGACACGAAATGGAATCTGTTTGACAATTGATTCCCGCGCATCAATTTGTCATATAACAACCTTAAATAAAAACATAATTAATATTAGACTATATTCATTGAAATGTTTAAAAGATAATCATCGTTGTCCACGAAGTTATGCGGCTTGACAAGCGGGACAACTGATCTCTGCACATCATTAGTAAAGAAACTCAGCACTGTGTCATATCATTGTCATTTTTTTTTTACAAAACCTAGTATTATCAATCATAAAAAATAGCCATTTGTTCAAATCTTACTACAAAAAGTACTACAGCAGCAATGTATCACAGAACAACTGTGATTTATTCAAATCCCACAACATTATAACCGCTACTTAACGATCCTAAAAAAACAAAATTTACATAAAAACAACAACCACACCCTCCAACAAAAAAAAAGAAACCCAGAATAGCATTACCTCTTTAGAATACTCATCAAATATGCAAGGTTTCAATTTTATGTTTTTGAACAGTGTCCCAACTACAACACACTCTTTGCCCTCTTCAAGTCCCAACACCGTGCACACTGTCCAAATCACCACAAAATTTCAAGTAATCAAACATAAAAAAACAATCAGATTAAAAAGGCACGATAGATTTAAAGCAAAACCCTAAGTTGAAAAAATATGAAGGAAAGGGTAAAATGCAAACCAGGAGAATTAGGTTTCCATTGGGAAACAAGGGAATACAAGAGAGTTCACATCAATCGAAGACGGGCGTAGTAAATTTGACTGTACTGCTGTCCACGATACATCTCTTTCCCAATTTCGAACGGTTCATCCTGCAACGAAATCGAATTAGCATATCTTCAGAGTTAATAGCACAAACACAGTGAGAGAGGGAAAGCACTGAACTTGAGATTCGTAGGAGGATTGGACTCTCTCCATTGCTATGGTTTGGCGGGAAAAGTTTGAAACTTGCAGTTGGCCGGAGAAGTGGAGCGCCGTTGACCGCCGTAGAAGCTCTGGTTTAGGGTTTTTTCGTGAAGAAAATCTGACTGAGAATAGAAAAGTGATACAAATTGTGTTTTGATATTTATTATAAAACTACCTACGAAAGCGCTTTTAAAAGCGCTTTCTAAAGGTCATCTAT